GGCTTTGACGATCTTGCGCGTTTTCAGAACGCTGCGCGCAGATATTGGGGGGGGGTGGGGGGGGAAGACGGAATAAGATTGAGTACCGTCGACACGAAAATAAGGCGCTCGCGAGTCACATGCCACGATTAGTGATGACAAAGAGCGATACCCGTTTTGCGGGCCAGAAGAACCCACCACCTATCCGACAAGGCAGCGTGCCCCGCAAAGATGACTACGAGGCAATAACGACAATGTAAAGACAATATCCCACTCCCTCTTCCACTCTCACCTCTCGTCCGCCTTGCGAAATGTGTCAGCCCCACCACCTTCCCCGTACTCCTCCTCGTCGCGCTCGTACTCCTCCTTGCTCAATTGCCCTCGCTCGTTGGAACGCTTCATAGTATGCCCTTGAACGACGCCGGCGACGGATAGAAGGACTTAAGCAATGCGCAGACACAAGGCACAATTTCGACCCAACCTTTGAATAAGAAGCGTGTGGTTGGGCTCTGTGCACAACGAAAGCTTGACTGATGGCTGTATTATCCCCTGCTTAGCGTCGAAGGGGAAGCCTCTCGCTAACGGATGGCCTGATCGTCCAGAGTCCTCTCCGAGGGCCGAAGCGCGTTGAATTGCGGTAATGAGAAACGCTCCCGGCCCCACTTCTTAGGCACGTATGCTTCAATTCCCTGTTTTAAGGGAAAGGGAGGAGGAGAGGACAGGGGTATGTCGACTGTAGTGGACACGGACATGGGGGGGGGGGAAGGCCTCCGTGATCGAGCGGCAGTGGGCGAGGCTCTGGGTCGAAAGAGAAAGCTAGCACGACACGCGACGCTTTGACGCGGCCACAAGCACGCAAATGCTCCCACTAAGGATACATGTGTAGCCTCTGCACGTGTAGATCCACCGTTCTCATTCGTAACGGGTGGCGTGCCAGGTGGTAAGCGCACAAATGTCTTTGGCAAAGAGGGTGAGACGATGAGAACATGATGATGTGGCCTTTCTTGTGCTTCAAGCTGAAGACGAAGTGGCTTCACTTACAGCCTTCTTCTAGCCGTGACCACGAACTGCTTGGGTGTTACAACGTCTCCCGAATTGCAAAGTGGCACAGGGGGAACGCGATGCGTTGCATTGGCCTTTAAAGGATCTGATAATACCGTCATTAGATATACTTTCGTATCCCCGAAAGGGTTACAGGGTTTCTGCGCAGTGGACCGAGACCACTACCTTGACGGGATCGTGTGCATCAAAGTATACGCGCATAACAAGAGATAGAGTATTGTTGGCGTTCTAGCACGTCTAGATCACTGCGCTTCTCATATTGGGCTGTACAGACGTGGGTGAAGGCCTCCAAGGCTCTCCCTTGCACGTCATATTTCTGGTCTCCTTTCACTTTCTCGCGGCATCCTGCCACACGATTATCTGGCTCAAGCCTGTAATTCTCATAAGACTGCTTATACTGACGAAAATAACAATGCACATGCCCAGACGCTCACAGATAGAGGCGGCCCAAAGGGACAACCAGGAGCGTCAGAGGGAGGCCAGGAGGTTAAATCTCGTACTGCGATTTGGCTAGTTTCTTCATCCCTGCAGCGCGGATGGATGGGGGCCTGTCTCCCTCCTCCATCCTCCATGGACTGGGTAGCATTCGCACGGGCCAATGGACGTCGGCATTGACAGCCACCTGGCATATCACGCAAATAGTGGCGGCCGTGCTCGTGCTGATAGCGGAGCGAGGTCGGTCATGCGATCAAAAACTGAACCTGTGGTTGATTGTCAGCACCTGCCGGGTCGTCCTCCGCCTTGCCCTTTCAAGCGTCGCCCTCAAGATGTCCAATGCTGCCTGGGCGCACATGCGCCCTTTACTTCTCTTCATGCCCCCAATGACCCAGGCGCAGGCAACCGACAGGAGTCCTGCGGGCCCACGGCCCCCTACCCCAGCCCGTCCTCCTACCCCTCCCCGCGACGCCCTCGTCGTACGGATCCATCCGGAAGGGCCTCCCACCGTGCGTGATGCCGGGCTCAGCGCGGAAAGGGGGTCTGCGCGGGGGGAGAGACGGCAAAGACGGGGAGGGGAGGAAAGAGGGGAGGAAGGGGCCGCACCAGAGGAAGGGCGAGGACGACGGCGACGAGCCTCCCAGGACCGGCGAGCAGGTAGGGCTACAGCGAACGTGGATGCGGAGGCAGGCCCCAGGACTCGCGGGGGGACCAGTGCCGGCAGACCCCACCCCGACGAGGGAGGGCAAGGGCCGTCCGTGCTGGTGGAAAAAGCGCGCGAAATACTGGACATTTTTGCCTTGATCTGGTTCACGTTGGGGAATGCGTGGGTCTTTGGGAGTCGTTACTGCCGGTTCACGAGTCCGGGTATCTTTTACGTGTCGCTGGGCATCATTGTCATGACCTACGTGACGATGCTCTTCCCCGTCTTGTTGGCCCTTCTCTTCGTCCCCTTCGCCTGTTTCTGCATGCCCTGTTTCCTCCGCCTCGCCATCCAACTCCAAGCCCAGGATCGGGCCTCCCGGGGGGCTTCTTCGGCGGAAATCAACGCCCTGCCCGTGGTGAAGTTCGGGGTGGGGATGTTCGACGGGGCAGAGGCGGGCACGTGCGCCATCTGCCTTGCCGAGTACGAGGAGGGGGAGGCGCTGCGCTTGTTGCAGTGCCCCGGGAAGCACCATTTCCATGTGGGGTGTGTGGATCAGTGGTTGAGGTAGGGAGGGAGGGAGTTAGGGGGG